GCAGCAGGGAAACTTTGTATAAGCCAAAATCTGAACTTCATGTGGTCTTGTGGGGTCTGTGAATCTTCAGGACTGCAGAGTGACTCGGAATCATGGCCAGAGTCTGTGTGCTGACTTCTTTTCCATTTGTTATTTGGATACATGGGAACATCCATCTTCCTGAGGTTTTGTATCTGTAGAGAACACAGTGAGATCTTCATGGTATGTCTTGTTAACAATAAACAGTTCTGCCTTTTTGTGAGGGTGTCTGAGTGTTCTCTGGGTGGTGGGAAATCTTGTGGAGTGGGTTTGATGCCTGAAACTGAAGATTGTGATTCCAGCTCCAGGTGAGCATTGGAAACTCAGGTTCACTTTTGGCCTGGGATGGTTCCAAGGTGATCACTTCCACCTCTAGATTCCCAAAGCATCGAAGGACCCCAAATTATTTGGGCCCCACTGTAAGTTTTGATGTGTAGTCCTCATGTCCTCAGGTGTGTTGGGGTTTTGTGGGACTGTTTTGAGTCATGTAAGGAGAGAAGCTAAGCAATTTCTGCTCTGCCTTGTCCTGCTTCATCTGGATGTGAAACTGACCCCAGCAGCACCTTGGTTTTGAGGGAATGCTTTCCTGAATCCACCAGGTATGAAAACGTGGTGTAACTCTAACCCCACTCTGAAATGTAACAGGAGCACAAAGAAAGTTAAAACCCAGAAATGAGCAAAGAAATGAGCTTCAAAGCCTAATTCATGTCCCTGTGGAGCATCTTCTCTTTCTCCCCTTAACAGCTGTTTTAGGCTCACTTTGCTTCCCACACATCCACGTCCCTTTTTCCCATGCTCTGTCTGCACACCCTGACGTGCTCTGCATTGTCCCTCGAGGTGAATCGATGCTAAATTACACCTTTGCTCTCTATCAGCTTCTGGCAACTGAGCTGCAGCTCGGACGCGGTGGTGTCACGGCACAGGAGCCTCGTCCTGCTCGGGATCCAACAGCTCCACCGGCACCGGAGAGCCGCGAGGGGCTCAGGTCTGGCGGCCCCGGGAGCAACTCCCGCAGGAGCGGCGAGGGATAACGGC